GGGATCGGGCAGTGTTTCGTTCTGCTGTGCATGGGGTCGCTATGAGTCGGAAACGACTCGACGGCACTTAACAACAACAACAACAACAACAAAGACATCTTTTGCAGCAGATTTGCCCAATGCAATATGTTGTTTGATTTCTGACTGCTGTTTCTATGGGCATTGACTGAGGATCCAAGTAAAATTAAATCCTTGCAACTTCAATCTTTTCTCCATTTAGCATGATGCTGTTTATTGGTCCCTGTGTGGTACAAATGGTTAAATGCTTGACTCGCAGCCAAGAGTTGGTGATTCAAAACCACCCTGAGGTTCCTTGGCAGAAAGGCTGGTAACCTGCCTCTGAAAGGTCATAGCCTTGAAAATCCTAGGGAGAGGTTCTATTCTGCACTCATGGGATTGCTGTGGGTCAGAAATGAATTGGTGGTGACTGGCAACAACATTTTATACATACTCTGTATCAAGGATTAATCAGCATCTATAACCTTCTTCCACAATAAGGCAAAACATTTAGCATACTCTTACTTCCCCTTTCCTCTGCATATTTCACCGCCAGGTTTGTTGAATTTTCAATTATGACATATATTTTAGGAATCCTTTTTTTAACTTTCATGTAATATTGCAAATACAGTGTCTGTAATATTTAGGCTCCAGATAAATTCCTTGTTTTTCCATATCGTTCTCTATTTTTAATTCCTTATTCTGATTCATCCTTCCTTTTATTGGAGTGCCTTCTAGGGCACGTTTCACAGAAAAGTCACAAGAAGTGGTATATCATTTGTGAATCCCTATAAGTCCAAATATGTTTTTTTAAAGAGAGATTTGAAAATCAACCCACCTAGACTCTCATAACACTGCCGGTGGGACTGTAAAATGATACAATCACTGTGGAAATTGTTATCGTGATTCGTTAAAAAGTTGGAAATGGAAACACCATTTGACTCAGCAATCTCATTACTAGGTATCTATCCTAAAGAAGTGAGAGGCAGGACACAAACAGATATATGCACACCTATATTAATTGCAGCACTATTCACAATAGCAAACAGATAGAAATAACCTGAGTGTCCATCAATGGAGGAGTGGATAACCAAACTCTGGTACATATACACAATGGAATACTATGCAACACTGAAGAATAATATAGAATTTGCAAAACACTTCATAACATGGATAAACATCATGCTGAGTGAAATAAGTCAATCACAGAAGCACAAATACTGACTGTATTAGTCCACTATTGTAAAAAGTTAAGGAAAGGTTTATATATGGAAGGAAACTTTCTTTGTTGGTTACCAGGGAAGGAGAGGGAATATTCCTAGATAGGTTAAAAAATATATGCATATATATAGAAACCAAAGATTATTATTAGTGGTAACCAGGGGTAGGAGGGAGGGGAAAAGGGGAGCTTTTGTTTGTGGGACATTGAGCTTATGCTAATGGTGGTGGAATATTTTGGAGAAAGATAGCAATAATGGTGGCACAAGAAAAATGTCATCAATGTCCCTGAGCTGTAAATGTGGAAGTTGTTATATTGGAGAATATCTTGATTTGTATATTTTCACCACAATAAAAGTTAAAAAAAAATCACCCAAACCAAACCCACTGCTTGCTAGCAAGTCAATTCTGACTCATCGTGACCCTACAGGGCAGAGTAGAGCTGCTCCCTGGGGTTTCTAAGGCTGTAAATCTTACCACAGAAACAGATTGGCACATCTTTCTTCTACAGGACAGCGGGTGGGTTCAAACCACTGACCTTTTGGTTAGCAGCCAAGCTCTATAACCCCCGGTGCCACCAGGGCCTCTTTTAAAACTAAATTATTGTTAAATGTACATTATTGAAAAAGCAGCATCAAAATAACATCAGGGCTCCAAGAAGAAAATTGTTTCTGTTCTCATCACCCAATCAATTAAATCTTTTCATTTTTTTGCATGTTATTTATTTGTCCCTGTGTGTATATGGACATTCAGTTTTAGCATGTTTGCAGAAATATTACAAATTGGTTTTACATTCTACAGTTTTACTTAATATTGTACTAGAACATGTTTTCCATGTTCTATTTCTCCCCTTCTTATTTTCCCCAGTTCTTCTTTTTTTCAATCATCCTGGGGTGGTGCAATCAGTTTGTGCTCAACTGCTAACTAATGGTTGGTGGTTTGAACCCACTTATTTGTGTCATGGAGGAAAGGCCTGGGGGCCTGCCTGTTTCTGTAAAGATCACAGCCGTGAAAACTCCAGGGAGCACAGTTCTACTCTGTAGCACAAGGGTTCACCCTGAGTCAGAATCGACTTGACAGCAGCAGGTTTCTTTTTTGTTTCCTTTCCTCCCCAAGATAAGATTAACAGCCTTTAAGGAATATTTTGATGTTTTTTCTCTCATCACTTTTAATGTAAATATGTAAAATTATTTTAAAAATTCATAAATGGCTTTATTTTCTAAATCTGGATGGTGGCATGGCAGTTTTGTGCCCTTGGGACACAGGGCCCCCCAACACTTTGCACAAAAGAGGAGTGAGGGACTTTTCATCCTGGAGTTACCTTTCTGAAAACACAGCCCCAGAGGGTAGGTGTCTGCCTGAGACCTCTTCCCACTTCTTTCTTTCCTCCATAGCTGGAAGCACCAAGTATTTTGGCACAGCCAAGGCCCGCTATGACTTCTGTGCCCGGGACCGATCGGAGCTGTCCCTCAAGGAGGGCGACATCATCAAGATCCTTAACAAGAAGGGACAGCAAGGCTGGTGGCGAGGGGAGATCTATGGCCGGGTGAGGCAGGGCAGGGCTGGGAAGCCCAGGCAAGGGTGTGGGGTGACCTGAAAGTGTGGAATGGAGAAGTGGGGACTGGCCTGCAAAGCAATTTCCCTTCCTTATCCATCCATCCATCCATCATCCATCCACTCATCCATTCACCCATCTGTCCACCTATCCATCCATTCACCTACCCACCCATCCATCCATCCATCCATCCATCATCCATCCACTCATCCATCTATCCATCCACCCATCCACCCATCCATCTATCTGTCTGTCCATCCATCAACCCATCCACCTATCCATCTATCCATCCCTCTATCCACTCATCCATCTATCCATCCATCCATCCATCATCCATTCACCCATCCATCCATCCACCCACCCATCTATCCATCCATCCACTCATTCATCCATCTATCCACTCATTCACCTATCCATCCATCCACTCATCCACCCATCCATCACTCATCCATCCATCCACTCACCCATCTGTCTGTCCATCCATCCATCCACTCGTCCATCATTTATCCATCCACCTACCTACCCACCCATCCTTCTATCCATCCACTGGAGAGGAGGAAGAGACTCAATGTTTCCATTCATATATCAACCTGCATTTACTGAGCATCTATTGTGTACAAAGGTTATGAAGATGGCACATAGCCAGGCAGTGTTCCCTTCTGTTATGTATAAGGTTGCCATGAGTTGAAGCTCACTTAGTGGCAATGTTAACAACAACATGAACAATGCTATGTGCCAGGCATTCTGCTGAGTGTTGAGGAGACAAAAATGAGACAATATAATCACTGCTCTCATGGAACTCAGCCCAGTGAGGAGAACAGACCTTTAACCATGAAGTTACAACACAGTGTGGTTGGGATCATGGTTAGGAGGCAGTGTGGGATTCTCCAGGGGAACACCTGAGCCATATGGGAGAGGATCAGGTTGTTTTCCGAGAGGCCAAGCTGATAGCTGAGGAATGAGTAAAGTTATTCAGGTGAAAAAGATCATAGAAGGGGTGGGAAAAACTGTTACAGGCAGAAGGACCAGCATGAACAAAAGCCTGGAGGCAAGGGAGTGATTGGCATGTTTGGGAAAAACGAAAGCAAGGACTGGTGTCAGTCTTATTCACTGCAGTATCACCAGTGTCTGCAACGGTGTCTTGCATATAGTAGCCTCAGGAGCTCTGGTGGTGTAGTGCCTAAGACATTTGGCTGCTAACTAGAAGGGTGGCAGTTCAAACCCGCCAGCCACTGTGTGGATGGAAGACTGGGCAACCTACTTCCATAAAGATATACTGCCTTGGAAACCCAAAGGGAGTTGCTATGAATTGGAATCAACTCAAGTGCTCAATGAATAGCAAATGCATGTTGAGAAAGAGCTGGGGCTAACCACTGTGCTCTCCTTCCTCCCTGAATTTGGACTATGAGGAATGGAAGGAACCTTAAGTCTCCCCAAACATACTTGTTTCTGTCAAGTTCTTATTTTTGCTCCACAAAGGCAGAGAACCTCTTGTTTCATCCACTGCTGAATTCCCAGCCTCTGGAATATGGCCTTGTTGGTACTAGTTACCCAAAAATATGCACTGAAGGAAGACAGGGACACTGCTTAGGAGCTTACATTCTACCTGGGAAAGCAAATGTGAAAAAATGACCTGGATAAGTATGTACATTAACAGTTTTGTTACAAACTGTGGAGGGTGAGTTTCATGTGCAGTGGATAATTAGGGTTTGAGAGAAACTGGGTTTGGGTGTTTAGGAAGGTCTGAGCTCTGGTGGCATAATGCCTAAGGCATTTGACTGCTAACCAGAAGGCTGGTGGTTCAAATCCACCAGCCACTCCTTGGAAGGAAGACTGGGCAATCTACTTCCTTAGAGATACCGCCTTGGAAACCCAAGGAGGGGTCACTGTGAGTCTGAATTGACTCAATGGCAGTGAGTTTTGGTTGTTTTTTTTTTTTTTGGTTTGGGTTGTAAAGGATCCATCCATCCATTCATCATCATCCATTAATCCTTCCTTCCTTCCTTCCTTCTTCTCTCTCTCCCTTCCTTCTTCCCTCCTTCTTTCTTTCCATCCACTCATCCATCCATCCTTTCTTCCTTCCTTCTATCTACCATCCATCCATCCATCCATCTACCCATTAACTCATCCATCCATCCACCAAGTATTTATTATCTATTGTGTGTCCTGTTGGTGCAGTGGTCAAGTACTCAGCTAAATGAAAGGCCAGTGGTTCAAACCCACCAGCTACTCCACAGAAGAAAAATATGGCAGTCTGCTTTCATAAAGGTTATAGCCTTGGAAACCCTATGGTGCAGTTCTACTCTGTCCTTTAGGGGCACTGTGAGTTGGAATCAACTCCATGGCAATGGATCTAGTTCTTTTACTGTGTGCTAGGCACTGCTCTAGGATCTGAGACTCATTGATGACTAGACAAAACTCCCTGCCCTGTGGAACTCATGTTGTAATGTGGGAGACAGACAACAAACATAGTAACACATAATTATATAATCAGTCAGGAGGTGATAAATGCTATAGAAGAAAGCAAAGCAGGAAAAGGGAATAAGGAGTGTTGGATTGGGTAGTGTTTTATTACCAGGGCTGCTCTAACAGAAGATACCACAAATGGGTTGCTTCAACAAACAGGGATTCATTCTCTTACAGTTTAGGAGGCTAGAAGTCCGAGTTCTAAGTGCCAGCTCTAAGGGCTAGGTGAAGGCCCCTCCACCTTCGGCTTCAGCTCTGCCTCTTGCTCCCGGCCCACCGGAGTGGAGGCTTCTCCTATCTCAGTCAGCTGCTATCTGCTGAGGCTGACAAACTCAAGGTCAACAAATAAAATGGCACAGTCCCAAAATTACCAGAAACATGGCAGGCCACTCATTCAAGTGCAGAGACAGTCCCCTCAGCAGGAAACATGGCAGGCTGCTGAATGAAGACTTGGCTACAGGCAGGGTCCAAGCATGCCAAAAAGCTCAGAGACCTTTCTCAAAACTGTCTTCTCATATACTGGAAGCAGACCACATCCCCAAGGCAGCTACTCAGCTGCTCTAGTAGATTCTACCATGGAGTTGATTACCAGTCTCCTCATGGGGAATAACTACATCCAGTTTCCCAGCCACTCAACCAGGCCCAGCCACATTGACACACAACTTAACTACTGCAGGTGGGATGACTGGGAAGGCCTTACTGATCAGATGCTATCTGAGTAGAGACGTGTAGGAGGTGAGGGGTCAGACACATGAATATCTAGGGAATGCACTTTCTGGGCAGAAGGGGCAGCAGATGCAAAGGGCCTGGGGTGAACGCCTGCCTGGAGATGTGTCCAGAGGCTCCCTTGACCGTTTCTTCATCTTTTCCCAGGTTGGCTGGTTCCCCTCTAACTATGTGGAGGAAGATTATTCCGAGTACTGCTGAGCCATGGCATGCTGGCAGAGCTAAGAGACTTCAGGCTCTGAGCCCGGGATGGGCAGGCAGTGGAACCAGGGGCTGTGACAGGTCCCAGCAGGCCAAGAGCCTGGCATGGACTGTGGAGGGCCAGGGTCCAGCTGGCCGGGCTCGTGGAGCCTCAATTAATTTATAACACACTGGTGTCCTCTTGGGTCCCCTCAACAAGATGGGGCTCGAGGCAACCGCTCTTAATAAAGTGATGAATGGATGGGATGGTGTTGTTTAGAAGGACCCAGAAGGGGAAACAAGGGGAGGAGTACTGAGACACAGACCAAAGCCCACTTAACCAACCGCTGCCTCCCGTCTTTATCACTTTCCCTGCCATTTACAGTAAAACTCAAAGGCAGAAATGAAATCCCATGTAGCAGGAAAGACGTTCCCACGCACAGATCCAGGTTTACAAAAATGTAACTGCCTCCATTTGTTTTTTTCTGTGATAGAACTTAATTACCTCCCCGCCCCTGAATCCTGGTCCCTGGTAACCAGTTCACCCGGTGGCACCTCAGAAGAAAGGCCTGGCATTATCCTTCTATAAAGATTGTTTTTAGTTGCCGTCAAGCTGACTCTAACTCATTGACCCCAAGTATGCAGAGCAGAACTGCTCCATCAGGTTTTCAAGGCTGTGACGTTTTGGAAGCAGATTGCCAATACTCACTTCCGAGGAACCTGTGGGTGGGTTTGAACCACCAAGTTTTCGGTTAATGGTCTGGTTCTTAACCCCTTCTGCCACCCAGGGACCCTGTGAATATTGCAGCCAAGGAAACCTCATGGAATAGTTCTACTGTGTAACACATGGAGTCATCATGAATTGGAATGGACTGTACAGTAACACCAAAAAACCCCACCACTGCTATGGAGTCGGATTTGACTCATAGAGACCCCTCCCTGGGTTTCTGAGGCAGTATCTCTATGAAAGTCCACTGTCCAGTCTTCCTTCCAAGGAGTGGCTGGTGGGTTTGAACCACCAGACTTCTGGTTAGCAGTCAAATGCCTTAGGCACTATGCTACCAAAGCTCCCAGACTCTACAGTAATGGGCTTGTAATCCTGCTGAGTGGTAGAAATTTTCCCTCAGTTGTATTGGGGTCTCCTCATTCATTTCTCCCTGAGATCCAGAGGGAATTAAATTCCAGAGGCTTTGATGCTGGGTGTTAGGGAGACAGCTGATCCTTCGTTGTTACAATCTGTCACACTTTCACCTGCTGAGGTATGATTGCTTCTGTTTGACCCTTAGTCCCTCCACACCATCCATGTCCCTCTTGGCTCCTGCAAGACACCTGACTGTCTCCCCTTCAACGCCGAGTCATATGGATGGGAAGGCTGCACACATCCTGGTCTGATGGGTGGTCCTGGTGCTGTAGTTGCTCACAGTGATTCTTTTCATTCCTGAAAGTGTCCCAAAATGACTCACAAATTATATAGTCACTGTCCTAGGTTGTCGTCTTAATTTCCATGCAAGATACCACAAGTGGGTGGCTTAAAAAAAAAAAAAAAGTTTATTTTCTCACAGGACTTCCTGGGTGGTGCAAACTCAGCTGCTACCTGAAAGGTGGGGAGTTCAAGTACATGCAGAGGCACCACAGAAGAAATGCCTAGTGACCTATCTCCAAAAGGTCACGACTTTGAAGACCCCATGGAGCACAGTTCTACTTGGATACACAGGGGGTTGTGTGAGTTGGAATCGACTTGATGGCAACTGTTTTTTAATTTATTTTTTATTTTTTCATGGTTCCAGAGCCTGGTAGTCCTAATCAGGGTATCGACCCTGTCGATTCCTCCTGTTCTTCCTGTTATGGGTTGAACTGTGTGCTCCTAAAAAGATATGTTGAAGTCTTACCTGCTGAAGTGCCCCAAAAAGACAAGTTGAAGTCTGTACCTATGACTGTGACCTTGTTTGGGCAATAGGGCTTTTCTTTGCAGAGGTAATCAGTTAACAACATCATACTGTGGTAGGATGCTTACACAAGGAGAGGACAGACAGAAACAGTCACACACGAGGAAGACACCATGTTGGGATCTGTCTGCAATCAAAGGAACGCCAATGATCACCTCTAGGTTTTCTGGCCAAGCCTTCTTCCCTACTTCGCAGAATCTTGTTTGACTTTGTTGCAGGAAAAGCTGGCTCGGACTGACAAATGTTCTTCCATCTCATTATTTGTGAATTCTGTATTTACCATCTGTGTACTCATTAACATTTATTCATAACCGCTAATCAATAGTCCGGGAGCTCTGGAAGCATAGTGCCTAAGGCATTTGACTGTTAACCAGAAGGCTGGCGGTTCAAACCCACCAGCCACTCCTCGGAAGGAAGACTGGGCAATCTGCTTCCGTAGTGATACTGCCTCGGAAACCCAAGGAGGGGTCGCTATGAGTCAGGTCTGACTTGATGGCACGTAA